CGGGTTCAAGTGATTCTCCTGCCTCAACCTCCGGAGTTAGCTGGGATTACAGGTGCATGCCACCGCGCCTGGCTAATTTTTGTATTTTTAGTAGAGGGCAGAGTTTCACCATGGTTGGCAGTAGCTGGTCTCAAACTTCCTGTTTAAGTTCTAGGGTACATGTGCACAACATGCAGGTTTGTTACATATGTACACATGTGCCATGTTGGTGTGCTGCACCTGTTAACTCCTCATTTACAATAGGTATATCTCCTAATGCTATCCCTCCCCCCTCCCCCACCCCACGACAGGCCCCATGTGTGACGTTCCCCTTCCTGTGTCCAAGTGTTCTCATTGTTCAATTCCCACCTATGAGTGAGAACATACGGTGTTTGGTTTTCTGTTCTTGCGATAGTTTGCTGAGAACAATGGTTTCCAGCTTCATCCATGTCCCTACAAAGGACATGAACTCATCCTTTTTTATGGCTTCATAGTATTCCATGGTATATATGTGCCACATTTTCTTAATCCAGTCTGTCACTGATGGACATTTGGGTTGGTTCCAAGTCTTTGCTATTGTGAATAGTGCCACAATAAACATACGTGTGCATGTGTCTTCATAGCAGCATGATTTACAATCCTTTGGGTATATACCCTGTAATGGAATGGCTGGGTCAAATGGTATTTCTAGTTCTAGATCCTTGAGGAATCGCCACACTGTCTTCCACAATGGTTGAACTAGTTTACAGTCCCACCAACAGTGGAAAAGTGTTCCTATTTCTCCACATCCTCTCCAGCACCTGTTGTTTCTTGACTTTTTAATGACTGTATGGCAATATTTTTGGACAGAAACACTGTTACTTGGATTGTCAGGTGACTAAAGAACATTCTGTCAACAACAAAAATTAATTCATGATTAACATCAACCATAATAACATATTGTAACAAATTTCTCACAAACTGATAGCAAAAAAATACATTTATTATATTCAACAAATTCTATTCTTTGTGAAATCTGGGCAATTCAGTAGTCATTCAAAAGCCAAAGTAGGAGAAAACTCAGATAGTTCATCTAATTAAGTTTAAAAAGCATGTTCTCTAATTCTCTGCTAGAATGTCCCGTTTCTCTTCCTTTGGCCAATACAGCCAGATTAGGCAAGGGTGGGTTTGGTCTACCGTCAGTCCTGAATACAAAAAGGGGAGACAAAGCATGAAATATTTACAACTGGGAAATATTTGCATTAGTGCAAATTGAGGGGCTTAGTACAGTCATAGACGTACCTATCACGCTTGCTGCCCATGCCTATCGCGCACGTCGTTGCTACCCATCCCGCACCGGTCGTCAGCGACCAGAGCTCCGCCATCCAGCGTTAAAGATCGTCCACCTCCTCAAACTCCGACATAGAGACAGCCCATCGCTCATTCTTACATCACGCGTATATCCTAAGCTCCCACATACAGCAAGAAGACTACCCTTCTCCTCCCTCACCCCCTCCGACTCACGACGCGCCCCGTGTGCTCAGCGATTCGCTTCCGAGCTTCCCCCGAAGTCAAAAAGTGATCTCATTCTGTGTCAGCTCCTTCCCACCTAGCTGAGCTCCGCGGACCACAAGTACACGGCTGCGGGTGTTCTAGAGTTTTCTGTTCTTCTCCTCCACGAACTCAACCGAAAAACTCCCTGCGATACGCGTTTTAGCCTAGAGAGAATACGTTGTGTTCCAGCTGCATCACTTACTAACAGCCCTACCAAAGGGACAACTACAGACTACTCCTTTTTTCACTGGCTAGCATAACCGTTCAAACCAGGTGGTGTCATATGTTACCATTTAATACTTAAGTCCTAAGTCACGTCAGCTATGACACCACCAGATGGTACCTTTAGGGTTGATTGCCGCTCTTCTGCTATTGTGATATCAAGTGGCCTCGCCTACACAACCCGCCCATAGACCTCCCAAGCACAACATGACGTCTGCATGTCGCTCTTCTACAGCAGCGGCGAATCTGATTTATAATCCTTTGGGTATATACCCAGTGAATGGGATGGCTGGGTCATATGGTACTTCTAGTTCTCTAGATCCATTGAGGAATCGCCATACTGTTTTCCATATAGTTGAACTAGTTTCAGATCCCACCAACAGTGTAAAAGTGTTCCTAATTTCTCCACATCCTCTCAGCACCTGTTGTTTCCTGACTTTTTTAATGATTGCCATTCTAACTGGTGTGAGATGTAAGAGAGGACTTCTTATGCCTAC